GCCTCTCTCTTGGACCGGCAAACGTGGTGGTCTCGTGTCACCGATGTGGGACCAGTGCGGCATCGCGCCATCGACAGCTCTGAACTGCGCCTCACCACTGACCGGGAAGGCCGCCAAGTGGGTCAGCACCGGTCGCACATTGTGGCAGCAGTCAGCAGCCCATGTCTGATAGCTAGAGCAGCAGCGTCAGGGTCGCAGGGTCGGATCGTGTCAAGCCTCTCGCCCGGCCGGCCGCGTGCAGACGTCGGCCTGTCTGCTGTCTGGAGTGATCTGTCGGCGGTCAGTACGACCGATCAGGTCGGAGTTTTCTGATGGTTGGAGGGTCTATCTGTATGTACTCTTCGAGATCTCTCCAAATCTGCCCTCTGATCAACCGTGATCATTCGGGAAGTCGGTGCTAGTAGAGACTAGTAGAGCCGGAGCCCCGTTTCCGCACTGCTGCGCGGCGCACGGTGCCTCCGGGGGCCCCCGCCTCCCCCCAGAGTACCACTCAAGAGTGACTCAAATAGTCTCAACTTGTACTCAACAGAGTCAACACACGAGACACGTCGCTCACGTGGGAACTGCTGTGGCGGCAACCTCTTAACATAATCGGCGCTCGTCCGCGCGGAGACCTCACTGCTCACACTTACGGTGTGCGCTCAAGTCGATCAGATTCAGAATGCCCCCCCACCCCCCCACCCCGAGTGTCCGCCAAGAGCGAGCCGACCGCGTGAGATAGGGTGCTGACCTTTCTCGCCGAGGCTCGCCGTGGCCCCACACGGCGGCCTCTGCTCGCGTTTTTGGATGGTTTTGGGTGGGGGTGCGAGTCACCAATGGGGAGCGGGAGGGGGAGTGTCCATTCTGAAGACTGCCGACCGCGGGGGGGGGGGGGGGGGGGGGGGGCTTCCCCCAGGGGTTTTACCCTCCCCCCCGGGGGAACCGCTCCCCGAGAGAGATTTTTAATTCCCCCCGCCAATTTTAACCCTCCCCGGGAACCCCAAATCCTTCCCAAAAAAGGGGCACGACCCGCTAAAGGGGGGTCCTTGTTTTGCCCCCGCCCGAAAAAGAAAGCCCCTTTTTTTTTTGGCCCCCTTTCTCTGGGGGGAAAACCTGGGGGGGGGGGGGGGGGG